ATATCAAAGATTAAGCTAATAAAAACCAACTGGCATTGTCGCCAAAGTTCAAAAAAAAAAAAAAAAAAAAAAAAAAATCACATAATAGCTAAAAAGTATATTATTTTACTTATACTTTAAAGAATCTTAATATTAATTTTAAAAACCAATTATGTAAATTGATTTTGAAAAATCTTTGATCAACTTTAATACATATATATTTTTAAAAAAAAACTTGTATGTGATAATTGTGAAAAATCTTTTTAAATATCACATGCAGATTTCTTTTTTAGTACTAAATTTTAAACATTAAAGTCCTATTACAACCAACATTAAATAATTAATTTTTGAAAATTGGAGCACGCTTTTATTTTAACTTAGAAAAGGTTTAATAAAATTTAAAGTAAATGATGTCAAAAATTTTTAACCGTCCAAATTTGGATGCTAACCTCAAAAGATAATCTACAATGATCTGCCAATTTTATGCTGATCGGCCGTTGAAAAAAAAAACAAAGTGAATAACTTTATTGTACGTATGCAGTAAAGATGACACATATCGAGAAGCCCAAAGAGGTAACGAGTGACGTAAATGTTGAAAAAGAAGATACAGAGGCACTTAAAACATTTAAAGCTTTGGCAAAAATACCTACATATCTCTCAGCAAGTTTCTTGCCTGCTTCAAGCTCTTCGTTGCTTTGTAAACTATATTTTCATTTTGTTGCATTTTTTTTAGATATAATATATTAAACATTAAAACGATACTTCATAATTTTTGAAGTAATTCACCTCACTCTTAGTCAACGTGACTTGATCCGCAAACTTAAGCGAGTAGTTGCAAAACAATTGATCGTGTCTTTGCCAAAAGATGATAGTGGTAAATCTACTGGTATATCCACCTCATTGTTACCAGTTGATTTGGGAGATATTGCTCTACAAGCTATTTCCCCATCTGGAGATCAACTTATGATCTTAAGAGCTGTATCGAATGACAAAGGAAAAAAGAGATTTGCTGAAGTAACGTTTTTTATATCCTGGCTTTAATAAATTTAAAAAGATGTAATCATACATGTGAATTGTTGAATTTGCAGACTTGGAAACTAGGATCATTAATAAATATTTTAGATGTTACCGATATCCATGGAGAGTTCTATACTGATGGTAATTATTCGTGCAATAATATTTATGTTTTGCAACAAAGTTATCTAACATATCATTATTTAAGACGAATTTGGCGGTCTATATTGGTCAAATGATGAGCAAAAAGTTGTCTATGTTGCAGAACAAAAGTCATTAGAAGATTCTGATGAGCGGGTAACTTTAAGAATCACTTTTCTTGATGGTCTTTTTTTTTAATTTCTACGTATTATTGACTTTAATGTGATAATTTATTGCTAGAAATTCGATTACGTACCATCTTGGGGCGAAAAATTCTATAATAAGCGTGCTCCTTTAATTGTTGTTTTCAACATTTCAGCAAATGATGCAAAAGTTTTACCAAAATTCGAAAAAATTGATCCAGGACAGGTTTGCAATACAATTATATTTAACTTATATAAAAGGCTTATCTAATTTCAAAATTAATAAAATTTATATAAAGGTTCAATTTGGACCTGAAGATAAATCCCTTATTTTTATTGGATATAGTAATGGGCCGCGACGTTTTGGTATTGCAGCGTGTACTAATCGATCGTGAGTTTTAACCGTTTTTCATAAAGAAATTTAAATTAAAATAAAATGACTTGACGATCTCAATTACAGAGCTGGAATATACCAGTGTCAGTTGGATGGGTCTAATCTAGGTAAGAATCTATGTAATTAAGTTAATTATGTCGCGGCTGATTATGAAATCGGATTATTGTGAAATTTGGGGTCTCAATTGAAAATATAGGCCCTACCACAATCCACCTATACTCTTTTATTAAAACTCTAACCATAAATCCTAACTCAACTATAAAAAAAAAGCCTACAAAAAAGGCCCAAAAAATTTAAAAATCGTACATGAAATAGATCCAAATTTCACAATAATCCGATTTCATAATCAGTCGTGACAATTTATAACCATTAAATAAGATGTTGATAAAATTATTCACAGAGCATCTAAGCGATAATGTTGAGCATGCACGGTCACCAAGACTTAATTTGACAGGAGACCGCTTAGTAAGCAATATTTTTTTTTTTGGCAAATTATTCTAATTAAATTACTCATTCATTTTCCTATTGGAAAAGATTTATCTATCTAATCCATCCGGCGGTCCACATAGCCGATGTTCGGAGCTTTATGAGGTTAAGATTTGTCTTTAATTAAATTAATCAAATGTAATTTTTACCTGTATTAATATTTATTTCTCTTTGAAGTACAACTTTCCATCAAAGCAAAATCGCCTTATCGTACCTATTGTACATTCTCCTTCACCGTCTTTTCATAATAACTTTCCTGGGATATATAGTAAATGTATTCCTTTAAAGGCATTTATTACAATTGACGGTGTTGAGTTCATTTTGATGCACAGTAGTTGGCGTAGTCAAGAAGTCTTATTGGCAATAAACCTGACCACTGGTAAGGTTCAAAAATTGACTACGATAGGATGTTGGAATTTATTCTCAGCATGGGACAAGTATATATTAGCATCGCAAGGTTCAACTACCGAATTTCATAAGTTGGTAAGTTCGATCTACAGTATATGTATATTTATTTTTATTTTATTTTATCATTATTTCTATCATACGGTTTACACTATCATATTATCGTTCAGCAACTCGGAGTGATAACTGGTTGTCATGAAGACAATTTGATTGTTGATTGGACAGTTATTGATCAGCCTGATGTAGAAAAAGGTATTTTATATTTTTATCTTCTAATTGTTATACATATTAATATTCACGTTAATAAATTTTACAAATGAAAATTTCCAATACATAGTGGCGCCTACTCTTGCCAAATCCACATGGTCTATATTGCAACCTTTTGAAAATAATCCTTATTTGGAATTAATAGTCCACAGGCCTAAAGAAGTTCCTTTAGATAAAAAACCACCTCTCATCATTATTCCACATGGTGGACCACATAGTGTTTATGTTGCAAGTATTAATTTGACTATATCGACTCTAGTTTCCTTGGGTTATTTTATTGTAGAAGGTATTCTTTCAGATATTGAGCTAGGAATTTATAAAAATAAACTGGTCACGTTACAAAGAATATATTAGACATTCTAATTTTAACTTTAAAAAAATAGTTAATTACACAGGAAGTGTTGGATTCGGTCAAGATTCCGTTGACGCATTGATAGGAAACATAGGTAATTTAGAAGTTGAGGAAGTTCAGGTATAATAATATTTGATATTTTTAACAAATGTGGCAACTTACGCTGAAATTAGCTGATGTTGAAATTTAGGGTCCCCATGAGGATGGCAAAAGTTTTCTAATACGTAATTAAAAACAGATGATGATTTTGGTCCTAAATAGATTCAAATTCAGATTTAACTATTCGGACTTTAATCATCACCTGTTTTAAATCGGTGAATAAATGTGTTTAAACCTGTTTTTTTACCATCCCTAGGTTCCCATTTAAATCTTTATACTCTTTTATTAATAATGCTAACCCTAAATCATAACCTAACCCTAAAACAAAGCCCACACAAAAGGTCATACAATAGATTATATTAAAATTTCAGCATCAGCAGCCACAACAAATATCCAAGATATAATTATATACAGAGTATAATTTTAATTAGGCTGCAGCACAGTATTTTATTGATCGACACGAAGTTGATCCTGATGCAATAGCATTAATTGGTGGTAGTCACGGTGGATTCATCTCCGGACATTTGATTGGAAAATATCCGGTAGGTTAAGTAAATTTAGTCTTAAATTATATGTTTATTAATCTGTTTCACACTTTCATCTAGGATTTTTACAAGGCTTGTGTTATGAGAAATCCCGTATTAAATCTTGGAGGTAAATAAAATTTTGTTGTTTTCAATTGTCTAAGATTTTGTATTGACAGATTCATTTAAAAATAAGGAATGACATCATCAACTGACATTCCAGATTGGTAAGGATAATTTTTAATGGTATTTTAGTTTGAATATATTTCGGTCATTATATGTTTATAATACATAATATAATAAACAGGTGCTTTGCAGAATTGGGCCTTCCATACTCTCTATCCAAGCCACCAATTCTCAAGCCATCAGATTATGCCAAGATGTATGAAAATTCGCCAATTTCAAATATAGATCAAGTGAAAACACCAACTTTATTAATGCTTGGAGAAAATGACGCTAGAGTACCAACTGTTGATGGATTGGCATGGTGGTATTATTTGAAAGGACAAGGTAAGGTAGAGATACAATGCAAGATGTATAAAGAGACAGGGCATTCATTGGATAGCATTGAAGCTGAAATTCAAGGCGTTGATGCTATTACTAAATTTTTAAAAAATAAGATTGGGTTGTAATTTTATATTTTAAATGTTAAGCAATGATTTATGTCTGTAATGATGATATACCCAATGTTGACATTCTATTGTTCTATTATAATTTCTTATATTTAATTATATTAAATTATTATAGATATATATTTAGCCTTTTAGTATGAAAAAAAATTTTTTTATATGTCAGAAAATACACTATTTTTCTATTAACAAACAAAAATTTCTATTGACCAACACTCGATATACCATACATAAGTAATACCAAGTCTAGTTAAAACCTAGTGAAGCAATTATTTATAAAATTTGTATAAGATGGTTATTTGTGGTATATGTTATCGTTAAGTTCGTGAAACCCAAATTTTGGATTCATTGATGTATTTGGCAAAGAATAATGTCCATGTTTTTCTTCTTTTTTTTGCCTTGTAACTGTTGTCCATTTTCTAATAGTGGCTGACTAAATTTTATTGACTATACAAAGTGTTTTTAAAAATTAACCGACAATTTCATAGAGCTTGTGTTGCTTTATAAAAAAAATCTCTAAAAACGATTTTGCAATTTTGAGATGATATCAAATATAGTTTACAGTGTAATATGAGAAACCTTGCTGTACTTACGAAACTTTAAACTGTAGAAATTGTACGAACTTCTACTATTAGATTTTATATTTTTTTCTTTTCATTGCAACTTATCTATCTGAATAGATGCTACTTCAGATAGCTACTCTAGATGCAACATATCTATGTCCTGTCATTATGGTCGCCACGCGTTAGTGTCCAGACTCTTGCGATTTCATTGTTTAAACAATGAAAAATCCCTGAAATCACATGAGTCTGGACACTCTACCACGCGTAGATCTCATGCAAGGAGAATAATTACGATCGATTGAATGCGTTTGAGTGCATATATGTGTAATGGTCGGATCGATCCTTTTTTTCATGCAGCTTCAACAAGATTTGTTCGCTGTTCTTAAATGTAAATTTTAAAGAAATTATGACTATAATTAGTTAATTATTGTCAGTATCAATTTGAAGTATCCCCACTAGCAAATAATATAGTAGGATTTAAATAATCAGAGTGCCGTTTTGAAGGAACAATTGTAATAATTGACAAGTAACTTTGGCTTACGTCAGTAACTCCATTTCACATGATTTGTTGACATCACATGCAGGTTTCTTATCGACACAACATTATAGTCTATTTGTATTTAATAAAATATTATCTTTCTCTTATTGTGCTAGTTTTTTTTTTTTTTTGTTGAAGTTCTTGCCTTTGGGGCTCCCTTACATTGGAGGTTACAGCTAGTCACACATGCATTTTTGGTGCCTAATTTAAGTAGTCCGCTTATACATTGCTATATAAGTTCCAAACTAGGTATCATACCTGCAAGTCAATTACGGGTCTTGCCTATTTAAACCTTCTGCATATGTTATCCAACCTGTATCATAAAACATCTTTAGAGTGCAGTTTATTCAAGTTTTTGATTTTTATTGGTATTCTTGAAATTATTTTATTCTTGACAAAGACTTGTTAGAACCTGTTATGTCTCACATACAGTTGATCTAATTTTATGTAATATGTTATAGTTATTTAACACTTGCAGTTATAAGGGTTTTTTGTTTAATTATTATATTATATTATTTTTATTTTTATAAAGTTTACTAAAATTTTGGTATTATCTTTCTAATATTTTTTCTATTATTTTTTACTAATTATTACTTAGAATTGATAGATTCTAATCAGATTAATAATTCAGATAACTTGGTATAATATACTTATATATTTTTTCTTTCTAGTTAATTCAATAATCTAGTTGGTTATATATTTATATATATATATTTTATATTCAATTTATTTAATTTGTTCTTTTAAGAGTAGTTCATAGATTTTAGTTAGTTTGATAATACTGTTAAAAGCTTATATTATCTTTTTAATCAGAAATTTCTAAATAGGTTTCTGTCATTTTAGTTTCTTAGTCTTTTATATTTAGTAGTCTTATTATATATTTGTACTAAAGTTTTATATAATATCAATAAGTATTATTTTATATATATGTAATGTTATATTTCATATAAATACTCTGAGCTTCTAAGTTGTTAGATTTAGTGTATCTTGGTTATAATTATATAAAATTAACTAATTAACCAAAAACAATTAGTAATTTAAATATAATTTTTAATATACAATAAAAAAAATATATTTAATTTGTCAACTTATTATTTATATTGTAAATTTATTTTATAATATATATTTTTTAAAACCTGTTTATAAATATTAAATATAAAGTTATAGATTAGTATAACTTTTATAAACTTAGAAATTGTTTATTTGATTATGAATAATTATTTTGTTAAATTCTAATTTAAAAATAAATAAACTAAATAAACTAGTTGTTAATTGTTTGTTTTACAAATAAAACTAGTTTATTATTTTAACTAATAAGTATAAAAATAATCTAATTTATTAATTTTTATAAATACTTTTTATTAAAAATTATGTTTATTTTAAACTAAAACTAAAACATTATATATGATAGCTTAAAAAAATAATATATTAGAATCACAAAACTAATTTTTTATTTTGCATTATATAGATTTCAAAAATTCAGTTATTTAGATAGAAATTTTTTCTATTTTTTTTTTTTTATATTTAAATACTCTATAATTATATCTTGTTTTAAAAATTTTGTACTTATATAAAAATTAAATTTTATATATATTATATAAATTTGGTTTAAAATTTTATGATTATAAGCAAATGAAATTATAAAAAAAGTAATTAGGACTGTGACAACTTAGTAAAATAAATAAGTTAACAATTCTTCAAGTAATAAGTTTTAAGTTCAAAACCTATTAATAATAAATATTTGAATAACTACCTATATAATATATAAGCAGTATTATGATAATAATATTTTGTCAATCAGTTAAAATAAAATACCTATAACTACAGTTGCATCAACATAACTGACAGGTCATAGAACATCCATATAACCTTGATTATACAAAAAGATGCAAACTAATACTAAGTAATACAAACTTAAAATAAGTTCTTGTAACTGTATAAATTTGTAAAACTAATAAACTAAAGCCTATTTGAAAAAATTTAAATAGAGAAATAATATGAATATTTAACAATACTACTGTAAAAGCTAGATCTAAAAAAAGAATATTAATATAAAGGAATCAATAGACAAGAATCTTGAGTGAATAATACTACTAATCAGATTAATAAAAAGGTTTAAACCAAAGAAAAAGAATATTAAACTAGACTTAATATACTAGAAACAGGTTATAGTTCTATTAGGTTATCTAAATTAGAAGTTAATAAAAAAAGTAAAAGTATATTATAAGTACTAGAAATATGCTATAAAGTCAGTACTAGGGTTTAAGTAAACTTTGCAAAAATAAGTCCTACTAACAAAAACTAAATATAAGTATTTAGCTAACAAAAAGGTTCTTTGAAGCCTTATAGTTAGATAATATACTTTGAAATATGTTACAACTTGACAGATATACAAACAAGAAGATCAAGATTAAATTAAACAATATTTAAATATATAAAAACTTATATGCTATATATCAGATATAGTATAGAAATTAGAATATTTAATTAAATAATTTTCTAACAGATTACAAATATGATAGTTAGTATAGAACTTATAAACAGACTACTTAAATAGATAACTAAAAGCTATATATGTAACTAGTTATATATTTATCTTATATAAGTTATATAATTATAATTAAAATCATAATAAATACAGTAGTTACCAATAACTACAGCCTTAGTAAAAGCAAAAAATAATGACTATAAAGAAACCTAACTATAATTATAAGTAATAAATAATAATTTTAAACTATTTATTTAATCCAAAATAAGACAATAAACTATAATATTATTATAATTAAATTAGCTATCAGTTTTGACAATATATTTAGATTTTTATTTGTAATAATTTTTAAATATTGAATCTTTATTTGTAATTATTTTTATTTTTAAATTCTTATTTGTAATTATTTTTATTTTAAGTTCTTATTTATAATCTTTTCTAATATATATTTTGTTTAATATATAAAAAAACTAAGAAGTTATATAGTAGTATTATTTAAAACAAAATAGACATAAACATAATTATAAGAAAAAAATTTAATATAATAAAATTTTAATATTTTAAAAATTCAAAATATAAAAAAAAAAATTGTATAAAAAAAAAATAAAATATAGGAATACAGATAAAAAACTTTTAACTACTAATAATATTAACTTTTTCTTATAAATTACAAAATACTAAGTAAACAAATAATTAGTAAAAAATATATAGAAATTTACAAAGTATTATAAAAATTTGAAATAATATACAAAGGTGAAATTACAGATTTTAGCCTAAATTAATCATAATTTTGGTCAAATCTTGAAATAATGCCTATGATATTATTTCAAATTTTTATAATAGTAGATGTGATGACTTAGTAAAGTGGATAAGTTGTTATACTCCCAAGTAGTAGATTGTGAGTTCAAAACCTACTGATGACAAAATTTAGATAATCACCTATGTAATATATAGATGGTATTACAGTGATGGCATTCTGTCGATCAGTTGGAATAGAATACTTGTAACTATGGTCACACTAACATGACTAGCAGGTCTGGAGCATCTGTATAACCTGTTACACAGAGAAATGCAAACTGGTACCAGGCAATGCAAACCTAAAATAAGTTCTTAGGCCATGTAAATCCATAGAACTGGAAAGCTAGAGCCTATTTGGAAATTCTGAGCAGAGAGGTAATACAGATCTTCAATGGTACTACTATAAAGGCTAGACCTAGGAAATGAATACTAATATGAAGGATTCGGGTAGGCAAAAATCTCAGGTGAGGGTACCACCAATCAGACTACCAGATTTCAGACTGAAGAAAAAGGATATTGGGCCAGCTTTAATATACTAAGGACAGGTTACAGTTCTTCTGGGCTATCTGAATTGAAAGTCTGAATTCAAAGCAGAGGTATACTAAAAGTACTAGAG